TGTCTCAAAAAAAAAAAAAAAAGACAGAAAAGTTTTAACATACAGAAAAGCACACATAAAAATAGAATGCCTGCGTTATAATCTCTCCAATACAGTAAATCAGCCCTTGGTCATGATAGCTTCAAAAGGCTGTAGGAAATAAAGACACAGTTGACGTGTTCTTCCCCGTCACTCTCATGCTGTTACCTGTGCCCTCTTGGAAAGCAATGGTCTCTCCATTCTATCCTTTTGGTTTGTTTTAACTAGTCAATAAATAATATATTATTTTTAATCACATAAACGAAAAATAAAATTCTTAGAGCTTTGCAACGTTCTTTCCCCATACATTATTACCCTTTTGGAACCTGTTGGGCTTATAAAAATACATCCAGATCATTCCTTTTCACAGCTGCATACATTCTATCATATAAACACACCACACTTTATTTATCCATTCCCTTATATGCATGGACATTTGCTTCCAGGTTTCAGCCATAACAAACAGTAGGCAATGAACATCTCTGTACATGTTTACTTATACATGTGTGCAATCATTCCTCCATGGTATAGGCTTGGGGTTGGCAGACTACAGCCTTCAGGCCAAGTCCTGCCTACCGCCTGTTTGGGTAATTAAATTTTATTGGCACGCAGCCAGGTCCATTCATTTCTGTCCTCCTAGTGCTGCTTTCTCACTACTGTGGCAGACACGAGAAGTTGCGACAGAGACCATAAGGCCCATGAGTCTAAAATGTCTACAGTCTCCCTTTACAGAAAAAGTTCGCCAATTCCTGTATAGACCTACGAGGGAAATTGCTAAGTCAAAGATAGGCGTTTTCAAGTTTACTAATTACTTAGCAAATTGATTCCAAAGTGCCAGTAAACATCAATGGAAGAAGCCAGGGTCTCTCTCCCCAAAGGAAAAGTACGTTTTCCTTCCTACTGCTCTCTCCTCTTTTAAGCTATTCTTCGGAGCTCAGCCATCTGTGACCCACAGCAAGACATGGATTCCTCAATCCTTGTTTTAAGGGAAGAACTTCTCAACCAAAACACAGGATCTTATTCTGAGAAATCTCTCTTAGCACTTACAAAACAAAAACATAAGGAGACTGCCTTTTCCAAAACCCTCCAGGTTATGACCCAGAAACAGCAGGCCCCTCCAGGCCCTCAAATCCAGCGGCACTCTGCACCCTCCTTTCTGCCGGCCCCCAGGTACAGGCACAGACCCTTCTTTGTGTTCGTGGCTAGGAACATCTTCCAATGGGGATTTTAAAAAGAACTTTCAACACACACATGGGGCACTCTGGGAGCAGGATCCAGAAGCCCAACCATTTCTAAAACGATTCTATCAAACTGCAGCGTATTTGGATGAATGCAGCTTTTCCTCCTACTCACCATCCTGTGTGCAGGCTCCAAGAAGATTTATGATATTTTTGTGTTTCCCAATCATCTTCATCATCTCCATCTCTGACACCAGATCAGAAAGGTCTTTCTCTGTGGCATCATCTGTGAACAGTAGATATATTCACAAATCAGTTCATTTCCTCTAACTCATGGGCAGCTACTGTTCGTTGCCAAAGACTTCGTTGAAACAGCATAAAACTGAATTTCAGAATCAGAAAAGATTTTCCAAATTGTCTCCCTCATTTTATCGGGGAAGGGACAAAGGCCTGAGTAGGGAGCTGCTCTGTGTCAAGGAGCTCACTGCGGGGGGGGCCAGTGGGGCCAGGAGTCAGGACTAGACCACGCTGACACCAATTCTTTCCTAGACCATGAAATAATCTCATACTCCGCCATATCTAAGATATCTCAGAAAACCACACCAAACTTCATGGTGCTTGAAGCCGGGCGGGAGACCAAAGGTAGGGCCATTTCGAATCAGACTTGTTCTTGACAAAGCATTCCTAACCCAAACCCTCACAGCCCTAGGAGCATTCTGAGATGGGTTCAGAGGGCTTCCCATAACTGGGCCACAAACATGTGTGCATGTGCATTCTGAGCAGGCAAAGGGACGTGACTTACAGTGGCTTCTCAAAGGGCACTGGAATTCCCATCCTAAGAAAAGCTATATAAACTTCTGCTCTGTAACTTCAAGCAAGAATGACATAGATCCCACATGCGCGGGCTCAGTTAGCTTCTCTTAGCTTCTCCTCAGTGGCAAGACTCTTTCCCATGTGCCCTCCACCTCAAGCTAATTCAGTACGGAAAAATCTGGGTTTCCTTTTAAAAAAAGAAAGATGGGCATGGATAAGAACCGTGTTGCAAACAGCTTTTCAGCGTCACAAAAAGGAAGATCAGTACAACTGACTGTGTGTGCAAAATTTACACTGATGTATGTGAAGGAGGGAGCCATGAGCCCTGAGGAGGAAGAGAGATACAGCTAAGAGCTATAAGGAAGGACATGCCACAATGGCCTGGGGGCTAATATCCTTCTATGACCTTAAAGGGAAGGCTGCCAGCCTGGGCATAACATGAGAAAGAGAACTCCCAGACCTCCCTTTTTGCAATACCCTATATAACTCTGAGCCCCATTAGCAAAACCAGAAGTTAGGCCAAAAGAGATGAGAAGCATGGGTCCTCTCCACACCTGCCCCTGGTACGTAGCCAGGGGCTGCCTCCATCAGTGGTGCCATCACACCCGGGGCAAGAAAGCACAGTGTTCCTCCAGGCATCAGGCTGCAAGGTGGGGAACATCTCAAAACACTAGTTTTCTTTGGGAGTCATTCAGATAAACAGCTTTTTTAAAAATCCACAAAACAAAAAGCACATCTTTTTGACCAAGTCCAGCCTGCTACTTCCCCTTGGGAGGGATGTGATGACCAACCAATGAGAACCCTCCAAAGAAAGAAAAAGTCTAACTCCAGAGCACCTGCGACATGCCCGGCACCCTGTCCCAAGGACAGGCTCTCTGCTTGGAAACGTGGGAAACACTCAGCATGGGATCTTCTTTCCGAGATTCCTGCAGGAGGATTTATAATGTGGCTGTTCCCTATAACTCTTCTCTTAAAAGAATACTGCAGAACAAATAAGTTAATGGTTAAAAGTTCTTTAAGCTCTTTGGACATGGGCATGAAGCAGGGCTGGAAGGTTAATGCAGAAATATTCACAGTCTCACGCAACACTACGTTTCCATCTCAGGGTCATTGTTGACATGTCCCAGGAGGCTCTGCACCAGCCTTGATGCTGTTAGCGCCTTCTCAGCTTCTAAGTGACTCTCCCAGACCAGTGTCATTTCTGCTTTGTTCCTCATGCAAAAGAGAAGGCTTTCTGCTCTCTGAGTCTCTTTGTTCCCTCCAAAAAACACACATTTCCTTGTTCTTGTAAAGTTAAGGTTTAAGTCCCAAATCCAACACACCAACTCCTATCCAATAAATCCAATTATACATGAGTTGATAATTTCTAAGCACATAAAAATACAGAGGGAATAAAGAATCACAGTCACACGGGAGTCAAAGAGTAACTCCATGTAGGAGGCTACCATCTTCTAACAAAACTGGCTTTATAAGTACACACAGCTCAAGATAAATAGTCTGTCTGAGATGCTGATTTATACTGAAAACTTCTCAACCCCTAGGTCAACTATGTGCTCTCTGACCCCATGCCATGATGGAGTTTGCATGCCACAAAAGGCACTTTCTTGATAAGACTCTCCACCCAGCCCCTCCTCGAGCCTCCCGCCTCCCCACTCACCTTTCAACATCTTCACTGCCACGGTGACCGCCTCCTTGGGCTTGTCTTTGTCAATTCCCACTGCTTCCGCCATGACCACTTGCCCAAAGCAACCTTCTCCCAGGGGCTTGCCCAGTGTCAACCTAAACGTGTAAACAGGGGATTAGCACACGGCATCTGGTGATGGGGTGTATCGAGGAAATTCCAGAACTAAATATAAAAATCTTTCAGCAGCTTGCTAAAGCATGGAGTACTTATCATATGGAACTAATGAGACTTAGGGTACACACGCGCCTGAGTATTTTTCTAGTGACGTTTTAGAGAATGTCAATTACTGGTGGAACAGCTATTAGATTTCACGTTGGTATTCTTGGTTTATTTTCTTTAGGGAAGGTATCCTTGCTAGTATGGTGGTCAGCTTTTCTAAGTGCCAGAGAGGAGCTTTTGATCTTGAGCCAAGAAATATCTGTAATTTAAAATGGCTCAAAGAAAAAACGTTAAGACTGCTCTTATTTTTTTTTTTTTGTCCCTGTAAAATGATGGCTTTAAAATTATTATTATTCAAATACCAATGGATTTTATGGTCACATTCCTTGCCAAGTTACAGGATATGACTCTTAAAAGCATTTCAAGGAATCTCTAATTTTTTACTAAAGAAAAAGAAAATTCTAAAAAAAAAATGGGGACTTTTTTTTGACATAGTTTAAAAGTCCTTATGACTACATAAAATTCACAATGAAGAAAATCCAAAGTGACCACAAATTAAATTTGTAGGATTACAAGGTCTACGCACATTGGATGAATGGCCATATATTGTCCTTGTGCATTCCAGAAACCAACAGAATGCAGAAGTCTTTGGAATACTTATGAATGTGGCTTTAACTTAAGTATAACACAGCAAAGCATGGAGCTCCCATTAGTAAACAGCATTTATGGTAAGTAGACAATGGTTTGCAAAAGTTCAGCATAAAGACTGAGGGCAGCATATGCTATGCTGAGGTCATTTTGTTTCTATCCAGAACTAAAATTAAATTTAACATCTTGGCAGAAAATAAATATTTGCATTGGAAAAATGGCTAATTTATGTCCCACTGCTTTGCTACTACAAGCATAACAATCCTTTCTTTGTATAACTTCTGCCTCCGATCTAATAAACTGCTTCTAAATAGCCTTCATTCATTGGAAATCTGTTCCACCTACGTTTGTGCTAAACGCTGTTTTGAAATGTTTAGCACTCAGATTTTCCACACTCAGGGTACCCCGGGTGGGAGGTAACAGTTGGGCACATACAGACTCCCACTGTTGACTGAGGTGTCACAGGTGGCTAAAACTACGGACTAAACCCAAAAGCTGCAATTTCTTAAAATATGATCACAACTCCCCAATTCAGTCATATATACAGGAATGTGCACATGAACCCACCTACATATATAATTCCACACACAAACTGGGGCTGGTGGAGTTCACAAGACACACCCATTTCTCCACATTCTACAGGTAAAGAAACCATTCTTTGTGTTTTCTGTGGTGCCCCACCAGTAAATATCCAATTAACATGCCTTGAATGAGTGAATGGTCTTTTCACTATAGCATACAAACAAACTGGCAACTATTTCCATTAACATTCTAACCAAATAATATCTACATACTTACTCAGTCCTAGCTAATGGTACACACGTCTAGATTGGCAGTTGGGAAACAAAACTGATTATGACATCATGTGAATCAAAATCAGAAGTGCCAGCCACAGAAGCTACCTCTCCCTTCCAAATAGAGCTCATCGAATCCGTCTCTGGAAAATCTTATCTTCGCATTTCCAAATGTGTATATGTCCATACAAGAAGTGTATATTAAACACTTCTCTAACATAATCTCAGGAGCTACTGAGAATGTCAAGACAAACAGGGTAGCTGCTCATAAGCAAGTCAAGAGCTTATTCCAGTGTATGGGATGCAGAAACAGTCAGCATTTCCACCTTCCAATACTCTCAAAGCTGTTACCACAAGAAGTACCCCAGAAGTGAGTGGACAGCCCTACGATGGCCACTGCGTGAGGACCTGAGGGTTGGTCCCGCCTGGAGGATGAGGGCTAGTAGCTCAAGTTCTGCCCCATTGACTCCATGCCCTGCACAATGATCCCGCTGAGGTTTGCAGTTCAGAGCTCCCAGGTTACCACCAGGTGAAGAGAAATGAAATGGAAACTCACACAAGCCAAGAACTGTGCTCAGTCCTGGGAGGTGTAAACCACCACCCTCATCTTATGAGAGTGAATTTGAGAGAGTCAGGTGCCTCACCCAAGGTTGCCCAGCCACTGTCTGGCAGAGCCAGAGTTCAAATGCAGCCCAACAGAGCCCCAGAATATAGACTTCAAGCGAGACCAAGAGACACATACCCCAGCAATACCCAGGTGGCCACATTTTGACCGAACCTCTGATTGGCACACCTCTGTATCATCCAACAAGGAAAATATTACGGACCACAGAGCTTAGATGTCAGGTGCCATATTTGAAGCTTTTCAGCTCAATATGACATTAATAACCATTGAGATCAGCAACACTGCATGGACACGCTTAAGGCCATTTGTATTCTGCAGCTAATTTCTCCACAGAAACGAACACAGAACAGTCTTGTTCTAGTAACCAAAAGCTGGAATGTCAGATCTATTTTATAAATTGGATAATTCTACTTTTATTCCATTTGACTGAGTCTGAATTGCCCAGACACTTAAAAAATGATAACCAGATGCCATCTTCTTTGGGGACCAGCCAGGGGCAAGTATCTCTGCTTTCAAGGAGTTATTTTTTTTTAATCCATTCTTCTCTCTCCCAGGAGTTGGTTATTTAGAAATACACTCTTACTCCTGCTGACATCATCACAGCAAGACCTTTGCGGCTAAAGGTCATAAAAAGAAAATGTTAATCCAATATCTCCATTTATAGCTGAGTCTCCATCCTGGGATATGGCCAAGAGAAGTACTCACTTATCTCTTGGAAACTCCCATTTTGGGTCCTCTGGAAGTTCATACTCAGAGACCCCTGCCAGCATGGGGGTGTCTGCCGTTGAAGACAGGCGTGTTGTGATCCTCACCAGCGGGGTGTTAGAGTTCATGGAGGAGCTGGACTCAGCCGAAACCTGGATACAAAATGCAAAGACACAGATGTAATCCTGGCTCCACCGGAAAAGGCTGGAAGTCAGCCAGAGCCCAGCCAGAGTATCAAATCTTAGAAAGGAATCGGTTGGGGGCTGGCAGAAATCATAAGCCAAATTAGAAAACCACTGGAATCCAAGTCCTCCGCCCTCCAGTCCATGCAATACTAGATTTCATCCAAATTATATGTTCCTATGTTCAAGTTTTTCTATGAAATTTTCCTATAGCATCTGATCACAATATAAGTCTCCTTTCCGTCCTAATTCCTCCAGATAGTCACTTGAGGACATGATGACAGTCCTCCCCGGCTTCATTAGTGCCTTTATGCTTGAACCCGCACCAGTACTAGAGCCCCAGATAACAGGTCTCCTCTCAGATTGCCCAGATCATGGATCAATGCTGTTTATGACATTCTATGAAAACGTTTAGAAAATCAGTTCTTCCACATTTCCTCTGTCTTTGGAAATGTAAAGCAGAATTCTCAAGGAAAGAGTTCCAGGACTTGAATGTGGAAGACATTCAGTAGCTCCAAGTCCCTTTACTGAAACTAAGCCAAGACCCCAGCATTGGGGGCCATTCTTTGTTTCTCCCCAGTCCTTCTGGAAACTTGTTGATGCCCAGGCTGTTCAGTGAAAATGGGCTGCCTCTTGTCAACTTCGGTTTCAGAAACCAGTGCCCTAAACACGCAGGATGAAGCATCAAGGAAAGAAAATATGCCTTTTTCCACAACCACACAGGAGTTCTCCTTGTAGCACACGGGGCTCCACCGAGTTAGTTTCTTGTTTACTCTGATCGATTTCAGTCTCTGTCTGATAAAATGATTATTTCTTAAACTTATCATTGTCCCTTGGCTGGTTTCTATGGAAAAAAAGACTCCTGCAGAGCACACTGGAAGGCCACTTCTGAAGATTACAACGCAACCTTAGCCTGATCACAGGTGGCCTGAACACTGTCTTATTCTAAACCATGAACAAGACTTTGGCCCAAGAGAACTGGAATGCGAAGTTAACCATGATCCACCACCAAGCAGCCAACTAGCCCACCTTGGGCTCTGTCTCCTGCATGACTGCCCAGGTGGACAGTATTCCCAGATGTGCTTACAAACACCTTCAACCACACTGGCAAAGACCAAGTCCAGTTGAACAAATTTAGGTGGGATGAACTTTCACAGGGTGGGTCCTGGGCTCTTCTCACAGAGAATCAGAAGACCTGTGTGCCTGTCCTATTCAAAAGCCTTGAATCTCGTCTTTGTAAATCCAGATTATCCTTATAGCAGGCCAGAAACTCAGGAAGATGCCCAAGAATGAATTAAAGGAAAAAATCACTTTAGGATTAGGAAGTTGTTTTCAGTATTAAAATAAAAAAACTGGGCCATAGTTAACATGGACCTTGGGAGGTGGGATCCACCCACCTGAGGTCAGGAGTTCGAGACCAGCCTGGCCAACATGGTAAAACCCCGTCTCTACTAAAAATACAAAAATTAGCTGGGCCTGGTGCCACATGCTTGTAATCCCAGCTACTCAGGAGGCTGAGGCAGGGGAATCGCTTGGACCCAGGAGACAGAGGTTGCAGTGAGCCGAGATTGTGCCACTGTACTCCGGCCAGGGCAACAGAGTGAGACTCTGTCTCAAAAAAAGAACCGGCCTAGCAATGACACAATTTCCGCAAATGGCCAAGGTCTGGCAGGCTTTGCAGCCAGAACACTCTCTGCATGGCCTGCGGTGTAGCCCCTTATCACTGGATACCAGTTTCCAGGATTCCATGATCTGGGTGCACAGTGAGCTGCAATCAACAGCGGAGTGGGGACAGATTAGGTAGTCGCTAGGGACCGCAGTCCTGGATGACGTTAACACCCAGCAGGCAGAGGCATCGTACCAGGCTTCTGTGCCTCGTCCCTGAAAATCACTGCTCTCATCAGCAAGGCTTACAGAATAGGATGTGGGGAAGGCAGCAGTCCCACAGCGAAGTGTGAGAACAAGGGCACTTAAAAGTTTCTGGAAGGACATATAAGAGACTTAGCAGTGATCACCTTTGGGGAGAGAGATTAGGTGTTGAGAGAGGGGGTAGAAAATACATTTTATTTCAGAACTTTCTAGACCATTTGGATTTTATTACCATGCATATGTAATTCTTTTATGTTTTAGACGAAGTACTTTAACAATAATATTTTTTAGAATAATAAGAATCTGAACTGAGGCATAAACAAGGGAAAAGAAACCGAAGGGCATGTGCTTGAAATATACTAGCTTCTAAAATGAGTGAAACGTTACAAGATCGCAGCTTTCAGCCCTTCCTTCCTTCTGCTACCAGTCTAGGTCTTACGGCATCGCTGCATCCTTCTATGTGGGCAGCAGCCCATCCTGTTGCTGCCCTTCCTGTGCCCATCGTTCCCAACATGAGACCCTGTGTCAGGCAGGCTGCATCCTGACCAACTGCAACAACACAGGACTGTACGATCAGACTGTCAGGGTCCCTGTCCCAGGTTCAGCTCTCACTCACTGTGTAAGCTTTGGGAAGTCACTCAACCTTTCTAGGCCTGGGTTTCCTCATCTGTTAAAAAATGAGACGGGCCAGCACAGTGGCTCACGCCTGTAATCCCTGCACTTTGGGAAGCCAAAGTGGGTAGATCTTCTGAGGTCAGGAGTTCGAGACCAGCCTGAACAAGATGGTGTTTTATATCCCCTCTCTACTAAAAATAGAAAAATTAGCCAGGTGCTGTGGTGCATGCCTATAATCCCAGCTACTAGGGAGGCTGAGGCAGAAGAATTGCTTGAACCTGGGAGGCAGAGGTTGCGGTGAGCCGAGACGGTGCCACTGCGCTCCAGTCTGGGTGACAGAGCGAGACTCCATCTCGAAAAAGAAAAAACAAGAAGACAGGAATAGGTCCAACCACACAGCATAAGGGCCAACCACACAGCATAAATGTGACGATAAAATGAGGGGAAAAAAACCTGATAAAGTGCTTAGTGCTAAGGCTGGCACTGAGAGCTCCATTAATGTCTGCTACCAACACTGCAATATTTTCTCTTAGTCCCTTTAGAAGCATTTGCTGCCCAGATCTCAGGGAACAGATGATGGCACTTCTCTCTGAATAACTTAGAGCATTTGGAGCCTGGGGTGGTTCTATGTGTGAGATATAGTCAGCCCTCTGTCATTTCAACTAATGATGGATCAAAAACATAAGAAAGAGAATTAATAATGAAAAATAACAATACAACCATTTTAAAATACAAGTAAAAACCAATACAGTATAACAACTATTTACATGGCATTTACAGCATATTAGTTATTATAGGTAGCCTAGAAATGACTAAGTATATGAAAGGATGTACACAGCTTATATGAAAATACTACACCATTTTATATAAAGGTCTTGGGCATCCACAGATTTGGGTATATTCGAGGGTCCTGGAACCAATTCCCAACCCATACCAAGGGACGACTATATTGTCAAACTGTGTGCAACCAGGAAGATAACCCAGTGACATTAAGAGCTGACTGCAGACGATATGCCTTGGTGGCATGCTTGATTTGCTAGACAAGGCCCTCTGCTCACTACCAGGGTGGGCTGGGGTTCTAGCAAGCAGGAGATGACGAACCCAGGAGTCAGGGAATCATCTCAGGGCAGGAGGAAAACCGGACAGTAAGAGGGTCCTAATGACAAATATGGCTTAGGGGTTACCTCAGAACAGAAAAATTTACATTCAGTCTGAGGTTCGCCACTCTAGGGCTCACCTATGACCCCAAAGGAATCTGCATCCACAAACCCCTGGCAAAAGTTCACATGTATCTACACCATCCTTCAAGCAGATTGTCTCAACAAGATTTTAATGCGACAGCTTTTCCAATGGAAAGCCTCAAAATAAATAAATACACTGGAAAACCTTGATCGACTTTGTTGTCATTAAAATTTTTAAAATGAGGTTTACAAGAAGGATTACTTATGGGAATTTCGTTCAGATGAAGTATGGCGGTGATTCAGAATAAATGTACAAATCTGGAAAATACTTTTATAAAAACACGAAGCGGGGAAAAGAGTAAGAAAATGTGCAAAGTCTAAGAAACGACAGAATTTGATTGCTCTGTCTACTGAGGTATATCTTAATTTTACCTCCATGCATTTTTACTATGCTTTTAAAATCCCCTCTGGGGATATAAAATACGGCTGGCTTTCTCTTCATTCCCTTCGACTCCAAGAGCAAGCCCGTGTTGGGGGCTTGGCACGATCCCGGGCAGGCCATTCCCCCAGGGGTGCCATGTGTAACTGGGCTTCCTTTCTCTGAATCAGGGCCCTCAAGTAACTCCCACTGCTCATCTTTGAAAGCCTTCTACTTCTTCAGCACTATTCAATCATCTTTATTTTCTTTTGCACAAAATCATAATCTTCCTTATTCTTCAATTCCTACCTAGAAACTTCAGTTCTGGACTTTCCTTTCCAACCAATTTTAATGTATTCCCTTGTTAGTGATAAGTGAGTTACTTCTAAACAATCAACACAAACACCCTAGTAAACTGTTTTCCCACTCCTGAATCTTGGCAGGCATTTTTTTTTAAGCATGTATTTTCACAGACTCCAATTCCATTTCCTCACTTTCTGGAATCTCTCTAGCATGTGCCATAAGTCAAGCTTTTAAGTAAATGTGCTTTTTGTACATTTCCGTAGTACATATGGGAGACTGAGTGAGGAAGTGTTTTTTTTTTTTCTTTTCTTTTTAAAGGGCCATCAAGAAACAGTTATCACTTTTTTTTAGACAGAGTTTCGCTCTCATTACCCAGGCTAGAGTGCAATGGCACAGTCTCAGCTCACTGCAACCTTTGGTTCCCGGGTTCAAGTGATTCTCCTGCCTCAGCCTCCCAATCAGCTAATTACAGGCATGTGCCACCCAAGCAGCTGGGAGTACAGGCATGTGTCACCATGCCCAGCTAATTTCGTATTTTTAGTAGAGAAGGGGTTTGTCACCATGTTTGTCAGACTGGTCTCGAA